TTTTAAACCCGGTAAACATAATTAGGAAATGAATGATCCATAAAACCAAGGGGGGTGCTCAACATATACTTCTTCTTCTATAAAACTATTTAAAAAGGCACTTTTAACATCCATTTGAAATAATTTGAAATTCTTAAAACTTGCAAATGTCCTCACATAGAGTTACATTTCTTTGAGTCTTGATATTACTTTAAGTTGATGAAGCTTTCACTTGTATATGTTGTTCTTGATTAACATTTGCTTCATCACATTGCCTCCTCCTCCTTTAGATATCTTCGTTGTAGCTCATATTCCATCCAATCCTCCATATGTGATACTAGCAAGCTTGATATGTATATTAACTACAATATCACTCAACAAGCAATTAGTACCGATAATGGTGGTTATAAATTATCATTAAAACATAAGGGCTAACAGCAACATGATAAACAACATAAAATTTACGGTAAAAATCAGTTTTTTGTTGTCATAAGCTTCTCTTTATCTCCTCTCTATAGATCAAGGAGCGCTCTAGTGGCATCGTCGGTGGCGCCGGTGGTGCCAGTGCTGTCCTCTAGATCTGGGCGGGGGACTGGACTTTCCGTTTGAGCTGGACTTTTGGGACGAGAGTGACTGGCTGTGATGTCCTCTAAAACATTATTAATCGTAGCTCCAGCATCAGTCCACTCTGCTGTTGTCTGAACTCTTTTTGAGACGGCGAACTGCAACACGTCTTCGTCTTCGCTGTGGTTGAGATGGAGGCAAACTTTGGAGGTTGAATCGCTGGCCATTTTTTATCCCTGTGCTTTGGAGTCGGTGTGCTTGGGAGTCGGTTGTTTTAGGGCTAAGGTTTTGAAATGGGTTTATGGAGACGATTCGCTTGGACAGAAGAGAGATGAAATGGTACGAACAAGGAGGTCATTATAGGTTAACGGGAGGCAGTTAAATCGAAGGGTATTTTGGGCGGTTCGTGTGAGTTTTAAACGACGTTTCACGTGGGGGCTTGTTTTCGTGGCTAGGAGAAAATTGTGGTGCTTTTTGGGGGCAAATCGCCCCTTGAAAAAGTCTTGGGGCGGACGGCACGTTCTGACGCGTTTTGGAGGTTAGAGGCATTTTTCCCTTAAAAAATTACCCTAGCATGGCGCGGGTAACGAAACTAGTTTATATCTAATTTTTATTGTTTTTGAAAAACTAATGTTCTTTTATTAATTGGAATTATACTAGGTTCACCTAGATGAATATCGATCAAATATTAATATCAGAAGGCTGCCAGAACGCCACAAACATATAACGTCTTCATGAAAAAAAGGGAAAAAGATAGTTCATTCTACATGAATGTTAAGGTCATTTGCTTTTTTAACAGTTAAACTGCTCAAAATAAACTAGTGCAAAATACCAAATTCCGGATATCCATCCTTTAAATTATCAATATTGTACATAAGTCCTCAAGAGAATCAATATTTGAAATAAATCCCCCATAATTGTTTAAGTTCCACAAATTACACTATCCTTGCTTAAGAAATAAGCCATTCCAACGTAACATTAGCTCCAAACAAAGTTAACTTGGTCGTTTATGGTTAGGGTAGGTCATATCTACTCCAACCACAAAATAATTAAAACGTAGTCACTTGGATCATATAAAATTTGATCAGTTAAGGGATTTTCCTTGTAAAACATTTGATCAGTTAATCATACTCCTTTTAAAAGCACGAGTTCGAAAAAATCTTTCGGTAGATAAAAATACCCTTGCAATTCAAATATTATTCCATTAAGTAAGAGTAAGTTGATAAATTGATGAATTCTTATTGGATATACATAGTATGAAGATAAGGATACAATTTAAATTGAAATGTAAATCTAAATAAAATTATTAAATACCAAATTTATAAATGTCTAAAAAATGAAGGGCGTATATGAAAAATAAATAAATTAATGAGACAAATAATGTCTACCCCAAAGGTCAAACCCGGAAACAACGTAGACCAACAAATGTATATAATGTGGATGAGATATTTACAAAATCCAACAAACAAATTAAAGAGACAAAAGTCATTCTTAAAATTATAAAAAGAAAAATTAAGGAAAAGAAAAAATCATACTCACTTTAAAAGCACGAGTTTAGGAAAAAGTTTCCATAGTCAAAATTATATTGTACTATTTTAAATATTTAATTTAAATTATAATCTATACTAATCATACTTATATCCTATCCTAAAATCCATGAACTATCTATAGCTCCACAATTTAAATAAGATTAATAAAATATATGAAACATCTCCGTACTATCAGTTTATTACATGAAGTATTACAAAAAAAGTAAAAAGTTTTGAAAATTAGACAAAATACTCTCAAAAGTTTAAAGTTACACAAAATAAAAAGCTAAAAATTTAGAACTTGGCAAATAAAAGAGTAATTGTGTGATATTTTTTCATTAAGATATATAAATATAACTTATAATTTAAGGTTTACTATTCCTTTTTAGAATCTGAAAATAATCAAGTTGATACTGGTAAAAAATAGTAATAATAACAAATTAAAAATATCTAGTTAAATAATAAAAATTTTAAAAAATATATGATAGATTAAAAATTAATGTTATTGTATAAATTAAAGTAACTACATATAATTTTACCAGAATACTAAAAATACATAAGTATCATTAATTGATAGAAGACTAAATCAAAAAAAAACTGATAAAATACTATAATATAATAGCTTAACATTAATTGATTATAATTTATAAATATTGATCTCTAATGGTAATAATATTTATTAGGTAAAAAAATTATAAAGATTTATTTATGGAGAACTATTAGCAAATTTAGAGATATCCCTCAAAAGAATCAAACGGTTTTCATTTCAAATGGAATTTGAAATGTCCATGAATCACTTCAATTAACACTAACATAAGTTATATTTATCAAAAAAACACCGACTGAATGCCCCCTGAATAATGTATTGAATAAATTTGTGCTCATCAAAGAAACATTCTTCATAGAAGATAAACGAAAATTTACTATACTTTGCATGACCAAAAAATATAAAATCGGCCTTTTTATTTTTCTTATATAGCATCACGACGCTGGGTGTGACTTTATTTAGGGGTATGACTACTAACAAAGGATCAATCCTTAAAGACACTACCAAAGATAATGATGTAATAGCAATATTAGAATTCAAGAAAGATCTCTAAGTATGAATGTAGTATATTTCATTAGTAAAATTCTTATTAAAGGCCACTAAATATAAAATTCACATTATATATATCTCAAATTTATAGAGGATATATGCATGTCATCGTAAATTACGTCAATAATATATATCAATCCAAAGATACAACTTACTGAAGAAATAAGAGAATAGTAAGTAAACCAAGCAAACATCCATATAACACCGTAAAGAAAAAATATTATATTTTAAAGCTAATATGTAACGCTCTTTTAGAGTAAGCTGCCAAGGCAAAAGTATCTCCATTAAGTCTCTTTATAAATACAACATAAATTCAAATTACTAATATATACAACCATTATAACATTTGAAAGATGTATGATGTTAGAAAACCTACTCTAAAAGTCATATAATTAAACCTAAGAATAATTTACCAATATACAGACACACTATCGCACCTTTAAGGCAACGATAACTACCATTTATAATAGAGTTGAGCAGTGATTCTATGTTTGCAAAGTCTACAATAAGAAAGTGGATAAAGATGTTAGTAATAAGTGTCCAGATGATAAATATTGTAGAATTGCCGATGATTTAGTACCAAGGTTAAGTGATATCCCTTCTTTATGAAATAAATATATAAAAAATAAATATTAATTTTATAATCTAAAGAAAATTGACAATGAAAAATTTAATGTATTTTAGTTCATATCCTCATGGAAAATGACACATACAAAGCAAATGTAACATTATGACACAGCAGAAATTCTTATTGGGTGCACAATAGAAGAATTCATTGCAGAGAAAAAAGAGGTAGCTCCTAACCTTATTTAAGTAATAAATTAAAAGCATAAAATTTTTATATATATGAAGTTAATATTTATTCTTATTAAAATAGGAAAAAAAATCAAAGTTTGTATTGTCAGATATTTGTGTTGAATATAAGAAATATATTCAACTTCTTTGTGAATTTAGATTAGAAGACAAAAGATAAATGAGCCAAAGGAAAAATAATATGCTCCAGTCTCATATCAAAATCAATGTAGACGATGAAGACACTACTACTCTAGAATTAGCTAGGAAAAATGTAAAGATGAATAATGATTGATCTCGACTAAATAAAAATAAAATAGAAGTAACAAAAGATAATGTTTTGTGAATTGTTATAGAATAGTTTTATTTTTTAGTAAAATTAGGAATCTTTAGAAGTGATTTTCATAAACTATTTTAGTGCTTTCATATGCATATGTGGGTGTTTTTATTATATAAAAGTGTAGTTAGCATTAATCTTCAGTTTATGATTTTTTTATTAACCATTTTCTGTCATTTTAGCTCATTTTAAATCAATCATCTTGGTTCTTTAGCTTTATTATTCATCTTCTTTTTATAATGTTATTTTTTCAAGTGTTTTCACTTTTATAACACTATACTTCCTCAGGTCAAGCTCGGTTTCATGCCGATCCAAATGAAATAAAAATTTAAATTGGCTTTAGATTATATTTATCTCCTGACAATTCAACTATCAACATAAAAAATTAAACTGGATGTAGCCTATTCAAACAAACATCAAATAAATAAATAATCAAAGTGTAACTATTAACAAACATAAGGTTGAATATGTGATTTAAAACATAGGACCCCACTTAATTGTAATAATACACATTAAAGAAGATGACCTTAAGATCTAATTTGAAAATTGGATGATTGGTCTTATGTATAGACTTTTTCATACACAAATCTCCAACCACTACGTGGTGAACATTCTCCTCTTCACGATTGGACTAAACTTTATAGACGTGTAACCCAAAACAATCTATAAATTTCCCTCCCCATGATTATCTTCATCCCTCCACATCCAACCCAGAACAAACACAATGGCCTTCTCTTATCAACCAACAAAGCCCCTAACAATGTTCAAAATCCTGCAAGAAGCTTTCAAACTCCCCACAAGGAATTCCAACCTTTTCCTACCCCTCCTTCTCCTCTCCTTCGTCGTCTCCTCCCTCCTCTTCACCTTCAACCACCTCTCTGTGGACCCCATCATCGCCGATCTCACCTCAAAATCCATCTCCATCACCTCCCTTGATCCAAAAAGTCCCTTATATCCCTCAATCCAATCTTCAATCCTCAAAGACATAAAAGAACTCGTCGGCATAGAAGCCATCATCATTATAGTCTCCTTCATCGTCTCCTCCCTCATTTCTATCTCTATAATACAAGCACTCTTCTTGACTTTATCGAATAATTCATCAAATATACATGACTTGTTTCATAGGCTTCATGGGAGAATAAAGGGTCCCATAATCACAAAACTCTATATCAAGCTCTTGAGCCTAGGATGTTTGTTTTTGCTAATGATTGTACTTGGTGTTCTTATATTCATTGGTCATAGATCTATGATTGTTATTGCGTTGTGTATGATTCTAGTCATCTTAGGCTTGAGGTTGTACTTGTACTTAATCTTGGTTTGGTCAGTGAGCGTAGTGATGTCAGTAGTTGAAGATAATTGCTATGGACTAGAAGCTATATCAAAGGCTGGGGAGATCATAAAAGGGAGGAGATGGCAAGGGGTTAAGCTTGTTATGATTGAAGTATTTATTCTAAGTTTGATATATGCAGGTTATAATGCTTTGAAAACATCTGTTTCAAATTCTATGGTATCTCAATTGAGTATAGGGTTCGTTCTGGTATCTGTTTCTGTGTTAACTAGCGTGTTCGAGTGGGCAATAAGCTTGGTGTTCTACTACAATTGTAAGAGGAGCAAGGAGGAAGATGGTGGATTTATGTATGCTACAGTGCCTCAGGAAACTAATGATTATGAGGGAGCAATTCCATGAATGTGGATTTAGTTGTGTATGGAGTTTGCAAACCCTATATGCCTGTTGTGTTAATGTAAGAAAGTACCTAATAGCATATATTGTCCAAGATATGTAAGAATGGATTGAGTCTGAGGTTTCATTTCAGCCTACAAGCTTTTGTTGGTAAATAAAGAAAATGAAAGTTCATCATGGTAAAAAAATAAAGTTTCAGCATTGACTTAATTTATGAAAAGTTTCTGTATTTTATGTTTCTTTCTGCGCGCTTATGTCAATTGAGAAGACATTTTGTGGTAATTAAATTCTATGGCGTCCTGTTTTACTGATGCCAGATTATCTAACAGAAATTTTCTAGAAAAATAAGTATATGAACAGCACATTATATTATGACATGTTATGTATATTTTTTTTTTTTATCTATACAGGTTACTCCACTTAGTGGTTGCCATCAGCTTTAACTAGTAACTTACTGCCAAGGTCGATGTACCCAATCTCCATTGTTTTGTCATGAAAGTGTACCATGCCTCAACCTTAGCAACTTAAGGCTTTTCATTTATTGGTCCCTTAATAAATATCCATTCATGGCAGCAACAAAAGCATACAGGGAAAAAAAAACTCAAAACCATTCCCAAGTCCCTAGCTCTACAAACTCATTGGATGTCCAACTTAAATTTGTCTTCGTCATTTTTAGTAACATACTAACTCTCTTCCTCTCATAAGGCTCTATGCTAATCATACCCATTATATGGACTCAAACCTCACAAAGCTTCATCCTTTTTTTTAGCTAAGTTATGTACGGCACCTTGACTACTTTCAGGTTCATTGGAAGCTTCAGAACCTCTTCATAGAACTTCACCATAGCTTATTCTATGATTTTCAAAGAAACTTCATATTGGAACAAGTTTCCTTTTCTAATTAGTCTTTGAGCCTCATCTTCATCTGACTCTCCCACTTGTAACATGCAAATAATGCAATTAACTAATTTATTGTCTATTCTATCTTATGTCTTTTTAAGGATTTGCACCTTTGCTTGAGAACTCCTAACATATAACCTTTCAGCTCTCTTTTGATATTCTACCATGGATATCCTTTTGAACACAAGAAAATAAACTCAAGGGTCCTCTCTTGTAGACCTCAATAAAACTTGAGTAAATAAAAAAAAAGTATGAAATATTATAGTCGTTTTCCTCTCCATTCACTCACCACTGACTGGCTCCTCCAGTTGCAAATTTTTTATACACTACCAAAGTTAGTAAATAAAAATTGTCAGCCAAAATTGTTGAAGGAGAAAAAGGTCATAGGTCTCATCACTCAAATCATTCACCGAAAGTTAGGCATCATTTTGAAGAAAAAAATTATTAAAATTTTTTTGAATAGTAATTTCCCGGTTGGTATAAATAGATCTAAAACTCTTTAGGAAAAATTCATCCCAGAAACAACTCCACATATTGAAGAGTGAGAGAAAAATAAAGAGAGTTTCTCATTGTGAAGAGAGATTATAACTCCAAAGTTTTTTCTCATAGTAAATTCTTCTATCATTGCTCGTGATTTTTACTCCAAATCCATCTAGGGGGTTTTCCACGTAAATTTTTGTGTTCATTTTATTACTTCTACTCTACTATTCGCTGGAACCTTATTCTATTGGGCCCCGGGTGTGTCCCAACAAGTAGTATCAGAACCTGACTTAGGGTGCGTGGCTACTACCAAAGGTGGATCATCCACATCAAAAAATAAGTTAGATTATCATTTACCCTTTGAAGACACTGTGTACTATTTACGAGTACTGTACTGTTCATAAATATGATATTATTCACAAGTACAGTAATATTCACGATATGATTATTATTCATAAAAAAGTTATTGTTTGCGTGAAATAGTAAGAAGATATTGTTCGTGGTAGAAGCAATGGCGGCGAAGTTCGAGATCGAAAAATTCAACGGGAGTAATTTCTTACTATGGAAGTTGAAGATAAATTCTATCTTGAGAAAAGATAATTGTCTAGGGGTCATCAGTTCAAGGCCAGATGACATCACAGATGAAAAAAATTGGAACGAGATGGATGGGAATGCTATTGATAATCTCCATCTGACATTAGCAGATGGGGTGTTGTCAAGCATAGAGGAGAAGAAGACAACAAAGGAGATCTGGGATAATCTAATAAAACTATATGAGACCAAATCACTGCACAACAAAATCTTCTAAAAAAGAAGACTTTACACTCTGAGGATGGCAAAATCTATATCGATGACCGACCACATCAATGTTGACCCTATAGTTTTGATGATGATTTGACAAACAATTTATTACTAATAAGTTTTTCGCAGTTGTTTTGTGTTTATGTTCTCTTTTCAGGTATTTCAACACAGCGTTAAAGATTCAAGTTCATCTGCGTGGATTTACCTAGGTATTTGTTTAGTTTACTTACATATATGGTATGATGATACTATAAGCTCAATATATATACACTTAACACGATTTTTGACGTTTATATCATATAGATGATTTTCTTAAAACATTGTTAAAATATCTTTATCTCTTGTTTACAGCTCTCTCACCGCTTTGCTATATGCATATAATTTATGCACAATACATATATGAAATTTACAAGTCCTATTTCAAATTTCACTTTCATAAAATACAGGTTTTCTAAGCATTTTTCAAAAACAGGTAGTTTTCACAAACGAAATTTGTTTTTTCCAAAAATTCCTTTTCAAACATGTTCATTTTTCATCATTTATAAACTTTCCCCAAAGTTTCACTATTTTTGGATATGAATTGATATTTTAACGAATTTCCAAAAACTGCCCAAACCTGTTTTCTGCCCATGTCAGATTTCGGTCGACCGATACGGTCGACCGACGGCTGTCTGGTTTCTGAGAAACCTTCTAGGTTTTTCTCGGTCGACCGGAATTTACGTCGGTCGACCGAAATTCCATTCGGTCGCCGAAATTTCGCGTCGGTCGACCGCCACTTCACAACATGTTTCTCACGTTTTTTGAACTAATCGGTCGACCGTACCGGTCGACCGACGAGCTGACAAACTGAGCCTAACGGCTAGTTTTTCAAATGGCTTTTTGGTCTTTTTCTTATTTTTAAGCTGTTCAATGGGGTGCTATATATACCCCATTTGCTGCTCATTCTTAACTCATATCAACAAGAAATCCAAGTTTGCTGTTGTAACAAGTGTACGCCTTTAAGTGAAGCGTTAGACTTTAAAAGCTGTCTCTCAATCTGTTTCCCAAAGAGAAGTTTTTCTACAACAAGAAGAAGCTTTCAAATCCTCATTGAAATCATTATTATCTTCAGCTCTTTCTGTTCCATTGAGAAGGTTTTCTAAACTCTTTCTTATTATAGCCTTGTTTATTTGCACTTTCAATTGTTAAGCCTATATTCCATTAAGTTATTTATTGAGTTTCATTCACTATTATCACACGACACTATATTGAGCTTTATATTCTACTATTATATTGTGGGTTGTGGTGTGCGGATTAGTTGAGTGTGAGCTCATTGTGTTCTCACTGTTAATTAAGAACGAATCATGTATTTAACTTTATTTTGATGAATCATTTAATCAGCTCTGTACCCGACGAGTGTGGCAGGGAGAGGCGCTCCATCGAGTGGCGTCGCGATTGCGACCTGGCGAAGTTGTAATCGAGCACTTAGGAGGAGGAGCACGGCTACACGGTTCCTACACTTAGTGTCTAAAGTGTGATTCTTGAGCTGATTGTGTAGGTGTGAGAGTTTTCGTGTGAAGCTTGTAAACGGAGTGTAGTGTGAGAAGTCCGGCGCTTTCCAAACCGGATGTGATACGTGGATATCTCTCGAGGTGACGGATGGCGGACGTAGTCGGGGGACCGAACCTCGTAAGACATATTCGTTGTCTTGTGTTTGCTGCTCTCTATTTTAGTTGTGCATAGTTCGTATTTTTTATGGTCTCATATCTATCATCTTGCAAGAACATATTGATCTATCATACATTTAATGCCTAGCTATTAAATCGGATTAGATTAGCATAAGACCCTAATCACCCCCCCTCTAGGGTCTAACAATCAACACCCTAAATGCATTGCTCTCCCAACTCACAACGTTGGGGCATACAATCAGTGTGAAAGAACGTGCATAACTTCTACTTCAGACTGACTTGTATGATCAGCTCATCATCAACCAAATAAACAACGTCCTTACGGACAATCTAATTTTTGACAATGTTACAACCGCTGTTCTGGAGGAAGAAAACCGACGCAAGAACAAGGAAGACATGCAGGCAAGTTCGCAATAATCGGAGGCCTTATAGATGACGAGAGGAAGATCAACGGAACGTGACTCCAGTGGGAGTCATACCCATGGTAGATCAAAATCAAAAAGTAAGAAGAATATCAAATGCTATAACTGTAGCAAAGGAGACACGTGAAATCAGAGTGGTAGCACAATAAAAAGAGTGGTGGTAAAAAGTATTCAAAGCCATCAACATCTCAAGGATGCGTTGTTAGCACATCAGATAATAGTAAAATTGTATACAGTGGAACAACCACTGTTGATGAAGGCAGAAAGATGTTTGTTGATGTCTAATTTCTAGATTCAGTAGCCTCCTATCACATAACTTTTCGGAGAGAATGGTTTCACAAATATGAACCAATCTCAGGGAATCTGTATTTATAGGCAATGATCATGCCTTAAAAATATCTAGTATTGGTACTATCAAAATCAAAATGTTTGATAGTACAATACACACCATTCAAGATGTAGACATGTGAAGGGCTTGAAGAAGAATTTATTGTCTTTAGGACAATCGGATGAGCTCGGATGCAAGACTCATATAGAAAATGGGATCATGAAGATTGTTAGAGGGGCGCTCATTGTGATAAAAGGAGAAAAAATAGCTGTAAATCTACACATGCTAAAGGGAGAAATTATGGAGGAAACTGATTCATGTGTGACATCAACTAGCAGTGAAGAAGAACAAACCATGACGTGGCACCGTAAACTAGGCCACATGTCAGAACGAGGCTTGATGATTCTCTCCGATCAGAAACTGTTTCCTAGACTTAATTCAGTAGCTCTTTTATTCTGCGAGCATTATGTTACAAGTAAGCAATATCGGCTGAAGTTCAACACATCAAGTTCTAGAAGCAATGCTATTCTGGAATTGGTTCATTCTAATGTATGGCAAGCACCAGTTATATTCATGGGAGGAGTAAAATATTTTGTGTTATTTATTGATTATT